TTGATATAATTTACTTATGTAGGCAAAACAACTTTGTTTAATGATATTGGATCAACAAAAAGCTAATGAAGAATTTGTTATCGTTGTTTTACGGACATTAACAATGCTATTATCTGTTGCTCTGTTAGATCAACAAGAACAGGTAGGGCACCAATATTAAAAAATAAATAATTTTTTAAATATAGAAGTATATATTAATTTATTAATTTTTTTTTTCTTAGATTGATCGATTATTATCTTATTTACTACATGATAAAAGAATTTCTGTTCAACAAAGTATTTTATTGGATTTAAACCAACTTAGTCGTAATGGTATCACATTCGATAGTTCTCATTTTATTGTAAGTCTATAAATTGTTTATTAAAATAATTTTTTTTTAAAAAAATAAAATAATCATATAAATTAATGTTCCTACCCTTTCTTTTTTTAAACACTAGGCTTTATTAAACGGAATTACAACTTCAGCTTCAACGTCACCATTACTACAACAACCCTCCTATAAATGTGCAGAATCGATAATAAAATCACACCGTACATTGATTATTCACATTTTAAATCAACCACCAACAACTGCCGAATATCAAACATTACTCAATATATTGGATATATGGAGAGATACATTAAACATGTCAATGCAGCACAAAAAATATAACTTTGCAATACAAAACGCAGACTTACTTTTGACAGTTTTGGATATTTTTAAATCAATAAAAGATTCATGTACTACTTTTATGACAGATTCCCCTGCCGATAATCTTATTGATAACAATGATCAGCTTCTAAATCTTATTTCTAATCATATGGATAACATTCCTATGGATGCAATTTATTCTGAATCAAATCATGTCACTTCACTTGCAAAGGTAATAATAATAATAATAATAATAATAATAATAATAATAATAATAATAATAATAATAATAATAATAATAATAATAATAATAATAATAATAATAATAGTAAAATTACTAATAATAACGAAAAAATATGTCTCGAAATGTATATCTGTATTCATCTAGTAACTAATCATTATTATCTCTAGGTTCGGAAATGGATATCAATTAAAACGAGATTATTACATATTTTTGACTATCAAGACGATAAAAACATATTTATAAATGGATTAAAGTTATTGGAAGAAAATCAAGGTAATAATTTATATATTATATATCCATGCGTGTAAAAATAGTTCAAGCTAATATAACCTATTATAATTGATTTAAAATTCATTTTATTTTTTATTATTTGTTTTGTAGATGATCGATTAAGCTCTATTATATTAAAATATTGTATATCTACTTCTCAAAAGTGCAATGATTTATATACTTGGCTTCCTTCACTTATTCTTAATACCTTGGAAAATTACATTGATTCTCCTATAGTATATGTAAGTTTGTATTATTTATCAAACTAAAAATAAAAATAAAAAATATTAATATTTTTTTTTTTGATAGATGAATCTTCTTTTTCTATTGTTTCGTACAATACAGCCTAACAAAGAAATCACTGATAATGTACTCGTATTAATAAAAAAGTTTGGTAAATGGGATGGCAAAACTGGAAAGTATACTACCAATGGTTGGAGTATATACTTAATTGGTATTGAAGCAAGTATTTGTGGTTGGTATTATATTATGCAAATCGTTATGAGTGAACTTCAATCATTGGTAAATCAACTACTAAAAAATTGGATATTATATATATACAACGATTATGTTTGTATACTTTTTGATTATTAATATTCATTTTTATAATTCTTTTTTCTCGAATATATATTGCAAATTTAGGTTGAATCTGATTCATGTCTACATTGGCTTTCTGCGCTTTCAGCTTTTGGTTCTGCAGAATGGACTCTAGCATACGACAACTCATCTATCATTGTGACAAAATCAGCAGAAATAATGGATTTATATTTAACTGCTCTAACAAGCTTAAAGGTAATAGTAAATATAGGTTTTTTTTTCTTAAAAGCCATTTTCAAAAATGTGCGTTTCACTACATTTAATACGTATTAATGGTTTGCGTTTATATGATAGTTTATGTCAATTTTCTCCACATTTATTATAATTATAGTTATTACGTAAAAAAAAAAAAAAAAAACATTTTTATAACTTATTATTAAAATTATTATTATTTTTCATTTATTGTTTTGTTAGGCATTTCATTCAGTTTCTGGTCAAGCAAAATTTCAAACTTGGATAATACGCTTACGAATGGAGATGTTCTATTCTATTCAATATACTTTAAGTGCATTAAAAGAAATTCAACTACATGGAAATCAAGAACAAAAATGTTATAAAATGGTAATATATACAAACATATATATATATATATATATATATTATAACTAAAAATTAAAAATTAAATAATACTTTTTGTTTTAAAAAAAATAGATGTTTGAATGCTTATCAAAATTTAGAACGCTTGCTTCTCGATATGATTTAGCAGCCCAATCAATGCATGGAGCAAATAAAGATGTTTTAGCTATTTTTGAACATTATAAAATTGGTGCTTTGGTATTAGAACATGCAACAAGAGTATTTATTAATTTAAAGTATATATAAATAATAATATTAAACATAAGACGGTGATATTTTAATGTGATGATACTGTTATTAAATTTATTTAATTTATTTTATTGTTTTTATAGCCACGGTGAATATTATTTTTGCATAGACCCTACACTTATATCATTATTATCTGATCACCATATATCTGAACCTTCATACATACCTCCAAATCTTTCAAAATTTAAAAATATGTGTATTGAAAGCCTTAAACAAATTGTTCAATGGGAAGAAAATTACGATCAAGAGAACTTTAGACAGGTATGAACTCTTAATATTTTTATTATTATTTTGATATAGTGACATTTCATATTCTCGTTATTTAAACCTTTTTTATTTGTCTATTTATTTGCATTAGTATTATCTCGATACGGTTGAATCCTTTTGTAAAAATATGATCAGCCTTCCATTAGTATTACCTAGACGGTTTTTTAAACACCAGTAAATCATTTTGTAAATATATCCTAATGCTTCCAACCATTCAAAATTGATTGTTATCTGTTTACAGATTTATATCAATATTAACACAAATATTAATACTTTTATTATAAATTAATCATTCTGATCCATTTTACAATTATATTCATGTGTTAAGTTTCCAACAAAAAAAGATTATCCTTTTTTTTAAATTTGTTTATTGATATGATGTTTTATAATGATACATGATTATCAAATCTATATTAAACCAAGAGAACCATAGCTGTATCTTGATATAAAATATTGTGCTTAGAAGTAAGAGATGTCTCCGAATTTTTCCTTGTAACCAGGAACAGAGAATTGGCCCTTTTCAACCATAGTTTCAACGTTCTTGACAAGTTCAGGCTTAGCGGCAATAATGTCATCAACCTAAAATAAAGTAATATAATGGAATTTATATATAAATATATAATACTCAGTATATATTTTTCAACTAATAATATATATATATATATATATATAATGCTGTATTGATTGTATATGCCGTTGTTATTGTTATTATTATTATTATTATTATTATTATTATTATAATAATAATAATAATAATAATAATAATAATAATAATTGTTATTTTAATTGTTGTTATTATTGTTATTATTATTATTATCATCTTACAGTAAGTTGTTCAATAGGACGGGAACCTTGAATATTACTAAGAGTAGCATTAAGATCCTTAAGTTCGGCTTCAATTTGTTGAACAGTGTTCTTGGCTTTTTCAACCTATAAAAAATAATAATAAAAATAACCAATAATAAATATAAATATATATTAATATAAATATATATAAACTTGTATTAAAATATTATTATTAATAATAATATATAAAAAAACTTACAGCCTTAGCTTCAAATTGATCAATAGCTTTTAATTGAGCATCAAGGTTATAAGCAACAGGTTTAAATCCTTGGACAGCCTTTTCAGCATTATCAATGACAGCTTTGTTTTTCAAAACACTTCTATAATGAGCAAAGTCGACAGTAGTGGATTGAGTCTTTAATTCAGATAAAACACGTTTAACTTCTTCATTACGTTTACGGAAAGCTTGTAAAGAAGCAACAGTTTCTTGGGGAAGAGAGCTGGATAATTTAGCCCAGTCTAATTGCTTTGCAGCAGCGCGAACAGTGGTGGCCATCATTTTTTTTGTTTGATATAAAAAAAAATCGAGAGAGAAAGGGGAGGAAGGAAAAAAAAAAAAAAAAACGGGGTGTTAAAAAAATCATTTAAGTCACAATAAATCTTCTGAGATAAAATCTTTTTTTCTGTCTTTTTTTCATTCTCTTTTTACAATAAATATTGAATTATATACATAAAAATATGAAATAATACATACCTTTGATTTATTTATTTTTAAAATTCAATTATTTAGTTAATAAATAATATTGTCAATAATATTCATTTATAAAATGTTCTGATTATAACTACATTTTAAACTATCTTCAACAATAACAATACTTTTATAATATAAACTCAAAAAGAATATCAAAGAAAATCGAAGATTCCATTATAAAATTATATACATGCCAACTTTCAATTTATTTAAAATACAATCTGCTTATTTGGTATACAGCATTATCAATAATATTTATTTAAAATAGATCAAATCTCAGTATTTATTAATAAAAAGCCCTGATCATAACTGCTTTCAACAGCAACTACAACAATATATATATATATATGTATATATTTAAATGCAATCACAAAAGAAATATCAAAAACATTATATAGCAAATCGTTATAAATAATTTCGGTAAACAAAAATAAACAACACAGCAAATAATAACTATCAATTATATACAATAATTGTAACAACTTATATATTTCTTCTGAATTCTATTATTAAAAAGGTATTAGCTAGCAAAAAAAAATAATTGCAATCTAGCTGTTTATAGTGTAAGAATACTAATTTTATAATTATTCTTCATAATTGGATTTTTGGTCCAAAATATTAAGAAAATGCTCTTTTGGTGTAGTCGGTTATCACGGATGCTTCACACGCATCAGGTCGCCGGTTCGAATCCGGCAGAGAGCATTTATGTTTTTTATATATATTATATTAATAAGGTTCAATGTTTAGCCATTTATTTTTTTGAAATGAGGAATGAATAATATAAGTATTTGGAGTATATAATAAAGTTCCAGTGAGCATCAGTTCCTGTTTTAAAGTAGAATAACTTAATATAAAGGAGTAGAAAAAAAATAAAATAAGGTAAAACTATAAAGTTTATTATAAAGTAGACAGTTTAATAATTATATAATAGATAGTAATTTACTCTAAAATTTGACAATTTAAGGGAAAAAAAAGAGAGCAAAAATTGATTATATTTATATTTAAAAAATTTATAAGAGTGGGAAGAGGAACAAAAACACCTTGATGTTTTTGCAGCAGTAGCACAAAAGCTAGGTCAAAAAAAGAAAAAAAAAGAAATCAGAGAGCATTGTTGCAAACAGTTTTCATACAAATAAAGGATTTATAGTATGATAAAAATTTAATAATCTTTTAAAATAATTCTATCTATTATATTATCATATGTTTAAATATATAATTTATTATTTTTGGAAAACTCCAATATATTTGGACTATTATAGATGCATGGAGCAATTTGATAGTCTAGAAACTATTCGATGATTGTGTATTAAGTCAATCATAAAGATTGCTGATTCATACTGAGCACTCCAATCTAATCCGTTAATACATGGAAAATATATATATAGAAAGAGAGAAAGAATAAAAATTTAATATGCAAATAAATTTAATGGCCATTGAGATTGATTACCATTTAAGAAGAGTAGTAAACAAGAGTAAATAAAATGAGATATATATATATGTGTGTGTTGCCCTAAAAAGAATAAAATAGAGTGGTTTCAATTAATAAATAAAACAAATTGATTTGGATAAATGAATATTTATTATAAACATACTAGTTGACAATTTGACAAGAAAAAAAAGGAAGAAAAGAGAAAGAAAAGCAATCTAGGGTATTTATACTTGGGTCAAACATTAATTTTATTTTTTTAAAAAAAGAAAAGGCAAATGATCGTAGATAAAAAATAAAAAAAAACTAAATGAAAGCGTTGTAAGCTTCATCTACTTGGGTGACAGTGATTTATAAATGCATTTCCTTATTAATAATAGAATAAATTAAAATATTATTTTAAAGATATAGTAAAAAACTATTCATAAAAGGATTAAATACACTTTTTTAAAAAATATATATATTTATGATTTAATATGTATTATATCATGATATAGTTTTTATAAGTTTAAATACTGATTATTTTTTAATTAGTAATTTATTCATTTTTTTTAATAAAAGAAAGAAAAATATATAAAATAATGACCGTTTACATAAATAGAAAAAAATATAACACTAGAGTTATACACCAGATCAAAAAAAAAAGGAAAGGAAAAAAAAAAAACTACAAATTTAAGGTATAAAAAGTTTTAATTCAGCAATACGGATATCAAATAGTCATGAAAATAAAAAATTATTATTAATGACTGTTTAGCAATCAAAAGATAAAAATATGAAGTTAAATATTAAAATTGGATTAAAATTGAAACAATAATAATAGTTTATCTATTAAAAGAATACAACTTTAAATATGATTATTATTATGAAATAAAAGAAAAAAATAATTAGACCTGTTTCTATCATCATCATTGTTGTGTTAATATCATAAAAAACTTTTATTTGAATTAATGATTACTGTACAAAGTGAATAATTGCAATATATGTAATAAAAAAAAAGAAAAAGAATGAAAAAAAGATAATTATACTAATGATATTTTTTTTATGAAAAAAAAAAAAGGTGAATAAATAATAATAATAATGAAATGATCAAACGTAAATAAAATATATATATATATATTGGGCGAATAATTAATATAAAAATCTTTTATCTATTTCTTTCCTCTTTTTTTATCGCCTTTATCGTTTGACTTTCTTTTTTTTTGAGATTGTTCTTTTGAGTGGATACGAAGAGCCTTCTTAACATCAACTTTATCTTCTTTGCCTACTACTTTCTTGAGAATGTCGAGAGAAGAATTCTTTTCATTTTTAACATCACCGACAGTAGGCGCAAACTATGTATATATATATAAAAATAATAAAAAAGAAAAAAAAAATATTGTTATTATTTAATTTATGCTCATTTATCCAATTTTATTTTATTTTTTTTATATTTTTACCTGATGAGTAACACCTTTTATTTTTTGTTCATTCTTTAAAGATTTATCGAATTTACCCAAACTAGCGGTAGCTGTCCTAGAAGCAGCAATAGCTTGTTGTAATTCATTCTTGCCCAATTCACGTACATCCTTTTTCCCAGTCATGGTAGCAGCAGCACTTTCTTCTTCATTACGCTTTTGTCTCTTTGCATTTTTTTCTACTCTAGCCTTCTTTTCTTCTCGCTTAGCTTGGTACATATCTGTCATAGGATCCACACTATCAGGTACTTCAATTAACCAATCCTTAGTTTTATCCTTTTCACCACCTTGGTAACCCCATCGAGGAACATATTCATCACGTTCTTCATCCCATACCATTCTTTCTCTCTTTCTATTTTGAATGCCTTTAGCTTTAGCGAATTTTTCCCATCGAGTTAATGGTTTATCCTTAGGTAATGGTTTTTCACGAGGTAAAAGCGTAATTCTATCTGGTAATTCTGCAAGGACACCTAAATCACTGCTTTTGACCTTGAGATCGAATAGTTGATTTAATACAAGTTGGGTGTTGTCTCTTGATAATTCTTTGATATATTTTTCTTTTTCACTCCTATATACACAATAAAATAAATAACAAAAGTAATATAATAATAATAAAAAGACATTGGTTAAAAAAAACCGAGGACTTGTATAAAAGTTTTTATATTCTAATCATTGTTATCATTGTTATTTATGAGATCAAGATCACTTACTTGATACGTTTTTCATCAAGGGCGTTGATATCGAATCCAGCTAAAAGATTAAGATCATAATCAAGAGGTACAAGTTTTTCTACAGTGATTGGTTTACTATAAGGCAAATATAAGATAACATAGAGGCATATTAATATCATCATTATTTAAGAGATATAAAAATAATTTAATATAAAATAAAAAGTGTTTCTTACAATTGTGCTTTATGAGCTTCTAATATTTCAGTTACATCCATTTTATATAAAAGTTTAAAGAATTAGAAAAAATTGAGAAAGGAAAAGAGAGCGAAAAAAAAAAATCCAATTCAAAAATTTTATCAATGCGTCTCAGTTTAAAGTGGCTTATTTTTTTAATGCCAATTTTTTTTTAAAATTCAGTGAATTTTTTTATATCTTGCGCTTCCTCTTTCTCTAGCTTCTTTTTTTATTACAAATTAAAAAAAAAATACATTAGATATCAAATATGTATGTTTCTGTAATCTAATATTTTTTTAAATATTATTATTATTTATAATTATATTTTTTATTTATATTTATATTTTATTTATTTATATATTTACTTAGGGGTCGACACTGTCAACTTGTAATGGGTCCAGCTGGAAGTGGAAAGGTACATATCAATGTTAACAGCAACAATAATATAAAAAAATAGATATAATTCATTTATTTATACTTCTTTTGCAATGCTGTATTAATATATATATATATATATATATATATATATTTGTAGTCCACATTCTGTGCAACTATGATGACTCACTGCCAAACTACAGGAAGAAAAGTTCATTTAGTTAATTTAGATCCTGCTGCAGAAAAATTTGAATATGAACCAACTATAGGTAGGAATAAGATACTCTAAAATAATAATAGTAATAATAATGATAATGATAAAAATAATATAAAGTTTACTCAAATAATTTTTTTATTTTTATATTGTTTATCTAAACATATTGGTATTTGTTTATATTTATATATTTTATTTATTTATTTTAGATATTCGTGATTTAATTACTTTGGAAGATGTTATGGAAGAATTAGACTATGGACCAAATGGAGGGTTGATTTATTGTTTAGAGTAAGAACGTGTATATATATGATGATTGAAAAAAGAAAAAGAGTATTGCATTATATTTACAATATATGTCCATATATAATATATATACACTATATAGATTTTTATTAAATAATATTGACTGGCTTGAAGAAGAAATTGGAAATTACGATGATGACTACCTTATTATTGATTGTCCCGGGCAAATTGAATTATATACACACTTTCCTATCATGCGACGACTTTGTGAGCAATTAATGAGGTGGAATTTGAATATATGTGGAGTTTATTGTTTAGAATCACAATTTATTGAAGATAAAAGCAAATTCTTTTCCGGTGTACTTAGTGCAATGAGTGCTATGGTCAACATGGAAATCCCTCATATTAATGTAATGACAAAAATGGATTTAATACAAGGTGATTATGGTAATAAGTCAACAAAGGAAGGAGAAGAAGAAGAAGATACTCTTGGTGGAAGTAGTGGCGGTGATAAAAAGAAATTATCAAAGAAACAAAGAAAACGGTTACAACAGCAAAAAAGAGAACAGGTTATGACGGAAAGAGAATTGGAAAGATATCTGGACCCTGACCCGTTATTGATCGCCGAAGAAGCTGGTCAAGTGACTGATAGAGAAGTTACACCTAGAATGGCTAAATTCCAAGCATTAAATCAAGCTATTGTACAACTGGTAAAATATAACATTATTAAAAAAAAGAAAAAGAAATGAATGAGATTATTTATAGATATTATCTTTTATTATTTAGATTGATGATTATAGTATGGTCAGCTTTATACCTTTGAATATTACTGACGAAGACTCTGTAGAATATGTATTATCTAGTGTTGATCATGCAATGCAATATGGTGAAGATCTTGAACCCAAGGTAAAAAAAAAAAAAAAAAAAAATAGTACATCTTCATATGACAATAAGAGAACTAAAATTTAATATTTATTTTTTTAAAATAACAATAATAATACAGGAACCTGATGATAAAATAGAATATGATTAAATAATTTATTTATATTCACACAACACCTTTTGTAATAAAAATAATATTTA